GAAATTCTTTTTTTTTATAATATAAATAATATATTGTGAGTGATCATTCTACCTTTGAAGGGGGTGAGGTGATTGCCTGTCCAAATATCGTTTTATCAGAAGGTGGGTCCAAAGTTGAGACAAATTTCTGTATACCATCTTTATATTATGTAAATACCCAAAACAAAATTGTTTTCATGACATTGTGTGCATATAATGTATAACTTGATTGATCTTGTAACAGATTTGACCATATTTTTTCCATATTTGACCACAAAATACTCATTGTATTGAAAAGCAAACCTTAAACCAAAACCTTGTCAACTGGCAACTGTCTTGTCTACAGACCTCAATCTCCTGACAAAAAATTCCAATCTAAAATGTTATCAGACAACGATTCAGTGCTCATTTCCATATTGCTGTGTAGAAATCCATTCATTAGGAAATCAACTCTACGAAATACAAGTCTTGCCCTTAGATAATGAGTTGATGCTTTTTCTCATAAACAAAGAGAGCTATCTAAAGGTTGATGGCATGATTATGTAGTGTAAACTCTACATCAAAATTTCCCGGTCCACAAAGTACATTAGTGTTACATAGTTGACTGATGGCAGACAATTTAAGTGAGCTATCTCACAAAAAACAAGCCCAATAACAAGAGTTATGTAACAATATGTCAGGGATACTATGCTGATCTTGTTCTGCTGACTCACTGATAATTGTTTGCCCTAGAAATCTCATCATGCTTGACTTACAAATGTATTTATTTTAAATTCTAGCTATTTCTTCTTTACGCTTAACTATCCAGATAATCTTTGCAGTTATAGGACATTTTTTTCTGTTTGAAATAAAACTAGAACTGCCACTGTCATGGCGTAAATACACCCACATACCACTTTGTCAGAATCAACAGTGTTCAATTAAAGCTCAAGGACAACTTCCCTGCCAAATCTGAGGGAAGTAAGCCAGTGCATTGCTAAGTTTTGTATTCTACATGTTTTAGTTGCAAAGATCAAAGTGACCTTTACCTTTTGAGCAGACAAGACAAGCTTTTGAACTTTACACCCCTGTGACCTTCACCTTTGACCCAGTGACCTAAAAGCAACAGAGGTCATCTAATGGTCATGACCAACATCCATGCCAAATCTGAAGACTGTGGGTCAAAGGAATATAAAGTTATTGGGAGTACAAGCTTTTTTATTCAAGGTCCATGTGACATTGACCTTTGACCCAGTGACCTCAAAATCAATATGGGTCATCTAATGGTCATGACTAACCTCCATGCCAAATAGGAAGACTATGGGGTCACAGGATTCTAAAGTTATTGGGCGGACAAGCTTTTTTTGCCAAGGCCCTTCTGACCTTGACCTTTGACCCAGTGACCTCAAAATCAATAGGCATAACCAACCTCAATACCAAATATGAAGACTGTTGACCAAAGCATTTTAAGGCAAATGAGTGGAAAGCTGTTTGAAGTCAAGGCCCCTGTGACCTTGACCTTTGACCTGGTGATCTCAAAATCAATAGGGGTCATCTACTAATCACGACCAGTCTCAATACCAAATATGAAGACTGTGGGTCAAAGGAATCGTAAGTTATTAGGCAGACAAGCTTTTTTTAGTTGACACCCCTGTTACCTTGACCTTTGACCTCAACATCAATAGGGGTCATCTACTAATAATGACCAATCTCAATACTAAATATGCAGACTCATGAGTCATCTATTAATCATGACCAATCGCAACTAAATATGAAGACTGTGGGTCAAAGGAATCTGAAGTTATTAGGCAAAAGGCTTTTTTAGTCAAGGCCCCTGTGACTTTGACCTTTCACCTCAAAATCAATAGGGGTCATCTACTTATAATGACCAATCTCAATACTAAATATGAAGACTGTGGTTCAAAGGAATCTTAAGTTATTAGGCAGATAAGGAAAAAGCGATAGACAGCCTAACAGATGTCTGGCTGAAATGGAATAAGAGGCCATTTCTTTTGTTATTTTCTTTTGTTTAATAGAGGGCCAATGACCTCTTACTCTACTGTTTTATGGAATGAACTCTATTGTTTTCTTTTGTTCTGTTAACAGTTAGATGGCCCCCAATCACTATTATGTTGTACGGGCGACGGCCAAGCTGATTCCAGTATACGCTCTTATAACTTTGTTGTGCGGGGGTACAATTACCTTTTTTAAAAGCTTATAAAGCTAATTTTAAACTAATCATTATGGCCTCATTTAAAAAATATTACAAAAATGCCCTCCAATACCTGCACAGTTAGCCATGTAAGAATTTCATATCTTTATGAACTTCAGGCATACTAAATGCAAAAGATGAACTTGTAATGGATTTTGTGTTTCACAATTTCATCTGACTTTTCTCCTAAACATTTACTATAATCAAGCATTTCTATATTTGAAAGACTTAGATGCTGGCATGTCACCTGTCTTGTAAATAGTGGATATCTACACCTCAGCAAATGTTGTTTTTTTCCCCAAGCTTATTACTTTCAGAATGTGTAAATATAGCCATTGCTGTTAGTTACCATTAGAATTATGGAGATAAATACTGCAAAATCAGTCATTAAACGCATATAAGACATGCAAACTATTTCTTAAATTGTGAATATTTTTTCTTTTCTTAAAATCTTACTACATTTTCTCAAGGTTAGTTTTACTAAAATATTTTGGCTCATCTGAATGCATGCAGCTTTATATATAATAAGTAAGTCTAGTATTGTATATTTTTGACCATCAAATGTTGACCTAAGAGTTGTGGACATTGGTCTTGAGCCAAGCATCATTCATTATCTCATCAAGATGATTATCACCGGCATGTTTTCTGATTTTTGTTGTTTCCTAACAACACAATGGTTTAGTTTACCACTACATGTTACACTTCCACCTTGAGGGCAGCTATGTCAATTAGGATTTACAACATGAATGATAAGTGATCATACTTCTGAAATCATAGTGAATAAACTAACCCCTGAATTAAGAATAAGTGGGTTTTTCACAGCTATTCTGTAGGTACAAATAAACGCTTTGATAATAAGCACAACAGGTTGACTAATCTATTGTGATGGGTGGTGCACCATGAAGCTATGCAGTAAAAGTTTGATAAGCTGGGAAAAACCCACTTTTGCCGAGTTCTGGATAACATCTATTCAATATACACCAAAATAAAAAATTGAAGAGTATAAATTCAAAAATGAGTGCAAATAGCTGACTGATTAATTGTGAACGATATTGCATCATAAAGAAATTACAGTTAAAAATTTGTTTGAGAAGGGGGGGGGGGTGTTGGGGATTAGCTCAGAGAAGCCAGATTTGCCGAGTTCCAGATATCAACTATACAGAATGTTATAAAAATGCCTTTTGATTTTGACATTGTAAACGAAAGAATTATATAATAAGAAGCCTTTTTCAAGAAGTATAAATATTTGCCTGTTGCGCTTCAACAAGTCTCAAATGAATCAGAAATCCTCAACAAAACCCTGCAAGCAAAATAACATGAGAAAATTCACAAAGTCAAATGCCAAGTTATTTGAGAACCAGCTGTTCATGATGCTGCAAAGTTGGCCCATGAAGTTGGCCCATGATGTTGGCTAGTTAACAAAGTGTCAATGATTGTCCTACAGGTTTCCCAGCTGTACTATACTAACAGAAGGTTACAATAATCTACAGCATTACTGGTGCCAAACATATAACACCTTTACCTACTGCTTATCATATAAGTCTGCAATTACAGAGCTTTACACCATGTTTCTAGGAACTATAGTATCATTTCAGAGGAATTGTCTATACTCCCAGACAACAGCATAATAGTCTGTGATAAAACATTGTTGGATAATTGTTAAAGGGACTCCACTGAGGTTTTTTTGACATAATGGAACTGGAAATAATTTTACCAAATTAATGTTCCATTTGATGTTAAGTATACTCCGATGAATTTATATGCAAATTTCAGATCATTCGCTCACTATATTTTTTTTTCTTGAATAATTATATAAATTTTGAAAAATGACCTAAAAGTGAAAACAAATTGGGCTAAGAAAAGCATAAAAATAGAACTTAAGTAAATTTCTTAGTATATTTCTTAATTATCTGTTGCATATTTTTCTGTTTTAAAGGCGCTGGCTGATCTATGTAAGACATTCAAAATTTTATGTTTTAAGGATTCTATACCTCAGTGGAGTTCCTTTAAGATCTTGAAAATGCTCAAATCTTTGATGCAGCATAGCAAGAGACATTATTTACCAGTAAAATAAAATTACATGTAATCCAATAATAAAAATATAAAAAAATGAAATTGCAAAAGACATGTATTTACAATGTATTTTTTTTAGGACATAAGACCATTAAATTCCTGTATCAAAATAATATGGTCTTTAGAAAAGCCTGCAGAAAATTGATGTTCCAAATTATTGATTTCAGAATTTATGACCTCGTCTTTTGGGATAAATTTGTCTGCTCATTATATTTAAAACAGAATTCCATTTATGCCTGTGCTGGTATGACAAATCATGGTCTATTTGTCATTACAATAAATGAACAGCTTTAATCAATATTCTTTGTTGTTCTCTTTGATAACAAAATGATCATCCTAATGAAAATAACTATAAAACGTTTATTACACAAAAGAGCCTTTGACTATTAAATACGAACCTAGCTACAATGCAAAGAACAATCAGTTTGGTCCAAACAGGTAATGTATAATCTATTGAACATTTTTACTTTGTAACAGAAAGATGCAAATGCATCAGAAAAGATCCCACTGTGGCTGGGACACAAACTCGTGACCACCTGAAAATAACAACGATCTTGACCACTGAGCCACAGAGAAATGATTCCCAGGTACAGCTGTCAGATGTTGTACTTATAGTTAAGTATAAAGGTAGGTATGCACTCAAATACAATGTATAACAATAAGAAAATGTCAAGCATTTAAGAGACATAATACAACAACTTCAAGAAATCTATATGAACAATTTTTCTCTTTAAGCCAGGTGAACATTTAGTCTTACCTCTTCTCCTTTCAGCTGAACTTCATGATTAAGTATAAGTTCCACTGCCTCGACATTTTCTTCATTGATGGCGTGTAGTAGAGCGTCACCGACCTCGATATTGTGAGACAACAACAACTCTATCATCTCAATGTTCTCATTCTCTATAGCTATGAGCAACGCAGTCCGACCCAATGGGTCAACACAATTTATATTTAGATTTGAGCAATGACCAATGAGAGAGAGGTATTGTCTAGTTGATGGGATATCCCCGCGTTCCACGGCAAGTAGATATTGTTTTTCCTCATTTGTGAGGTCCACTTCTTTACGTATAACCCCCATACCCAGGCTATCTCCTTCCAGGTCGAGACCTGTGTCGTCCATTATACGTGTTGAGTTTATAAGCGAGTCGCGATACTGGTAATAAACCTTGTCCATGATGTTTGTCTGTCAGCCCTGAAAATATAACAACAATACTCATCAAACGGTAATATAATTTTAGTCTATTCTTTTAAGGGACCTTTCAGATGGTGATAACAATATTTACAGAAAATTGGTTTTAACAACATAATATTGGCTTAAACTCATTTACAGTGCAGTAGTCCCTAAATTTCTGGCAAATATGCTATTTCTTCTTATATTTGTACATGGTGTCTGAGCAGACAATGGTTTGATGAGGACATCATTTAATTTAATCCTGCTGATTTGTAATTAATGACTTGTCTCATACAGACTTTTCAACTTTATTCTACATTTTAGTATCAAGTTTTTCAAGATCAAAATATGAAATTATCCTGGTTTTACTGCACATTTGATAGTCACATCCATATATCATAACTGAATGATTTCAAGGTCCACCTGTAACAGCCAACCAAACTGGTATAACATTTATAAAGCCCATACATGTATCAGCCATATAGAGTTATTATAATTTTCCAATGCTGAAAAAAAACAACACCATTCTAAAATGATACAGTGATAAGACTTTCATAGAAACCAATCCTTAATGGGTTTATGCAATATAGTATACAAGCAGACCAATCCAAATCAAATATCATAAACATATTCAAATGTAAAAATAACAGGCATTTTGCATAGCATTCTTATGAACATTTACACACTCCAGAAAGGTACATAATAAATGCACGCTGAAAACAGGAAAATAACTGTGTTAGGGCTTTATTGTTTGTGGGAAAAAAAAAGAAAAGAAAAAAGAAACCCCCCCCCACACACAAAACTGACTTTAAAATTTTACCAAAAGAAGAATTTAATTTTTGATCTTTGTTTTGGTCACACGATAAAACAGTTACTATATGAAGATTTCGGTGTTACAAATCCAAATCTACTGACATGGCTAATATGATACCCTGGCCTTTTACAACAAATATATCATTGTGCCAATACAAATTGATCAAATTAAAATCATATGATATCATGTTCATCTGAGGATAAATCATTCCATTGAACTGCATGCAAAATGATAGATCTTCACTACTGCTTCAATCTCTAATTCTATATAAGAAAATATTGCAGAAATTCACAGTTTAATCTATCTTGAAATTCAATAAATTCTGCTTCATATTTCAAGCCAAGATTGTTGGAGAAACTTTAATTTCCCGCTAAAAGTCTTAATGGTAAATTTGATTAAACTGTTAAACTATTTAAGGAGAAATCTGCACAAGTTGTTTTATTTTCCACATTTCTCAAACTGTCATTTCAAAATGTGATGTTTCCCTGATAAGTTGTTGAAATGTTTGCTCAGCTTAACAAGTCTCAAGCTGATAACAACTCCTCTATAATATATGAGACGCGTCACAACAAAACCAACATAGTGCGTTTGCGACCAGCATGGATCCAGACCAGCCTGCGCGTCCGTGCAGTCTGATCAGGATCCATGCTGTTCGCTATCAGTTTCTCTACTTGTTATAGGGTTTGTAAGCGAACAGCATGGATCCTGATCAGACTGTGCCGATGCGCAGGCTGGTCTGGATCCATGCTGGTCGCAAAATTTAATGCACTATGTTGGTTTTGTCGTGACACGGCTCATATATTCTCATTTCTTCCGTTCTATTACAGCACATTTATAATTCTTTTCACTCCAAGTCAATGAAATATTTTCTACTCTGTTAAGCAACAACTTTTTCTCTATATCAGGTAAAAACATCTCAAAAGAGAAGAATTATTGAAAAGAAGAAAAGATAAGGGGACAAGCTAGGAAGGAGTATTCAGTTCTGATTGAAATGTCTTTATTTCTTCCTGGGGACTCATCAATAAAACCTTATCTATGTCACAAGATAATTGAAGAAACCTTTCCTTCTTCTAAGTACTCTTCTCCATACTGCATCTAACTCATTGTCTGGTCCTGTTATCAGCCATTTAGTGCATTAATTAGGTCAGATAATATACTGTAATACAATCAATGTATTAATTCTTCTGTATTTTACTAGTTTTAGCTTTTTCTCACTTTATCCCTTCAGTAAACTGGAACAATGTCCTCACATATTCAAAACAAGTATAAAATACTGGAACAATGTCCTCACATATTCAAAACAAGTATAAAATACTGGAACAATGTCCTCACATATTCAAAACAAGTATAAAATACTGGAACAATGTCCTCACATATTCAAAACAAGTATAAAATACTGGAACAATGTCCTCACATATTCAAAACAAGTATAAAATACTGGAACAATGTCCTCACATATTCAAAACAAGTATAAAATAAAGAAATTCCTGCTGTTCAGTGAGAATGTAAAACATTTCAGTTCATACAAGGAGTTAATACAACATCTGATAAAAAAAAAACTTGTCATGTTTCAACTAATCCATAACAAAACAAGAAAATCATTGATGCAAAGCATCAAAGGGCGACGCCAAAAGAATTTGATCCAGATTTGCACCTAAATACTTAACAAAAGATGTGTACTTTATAGCAGTACCATTACATGTGACCTGGAGGCTAGGGCCAGTTTAAGTTGAAACTTAAACCAAAGAAGAATAGGCTCTGTCTTGCCAAGATGCAAAGACAATTTATAGTCAATTAAGCAATCTTATAAGACTTATGCTATAAGAAAGAATTTCTTCAGATTAATTTATGAGACACAAGGATTCCTGAGTCATCAGCATATAATCACTGGCACGAGTATCGGACCTGGGAAGAAAAAATATGACCAGATGACCAGATTGATAAAAAAACTGTGTTTATAAAAACCAAAACAAAAAATGTAAATAATGATCCCCTTTAAAAATATACTATCAACTTGAAGTATATTTTTAAAGGGGGTCATTATTTACATTTTATTTTGGTTGTTGACACTTTTAAGATGAACACAGGTTTTTTTATCAATCTGGCCATATTTTTTCTTCCAAGGTCTGATACTCGTGCCTGTGCATTATAATAAAAGCTTATTGCTTAGGGTTGAAGACATGTAATTGACATATATTAGACATAAAAGAGGACCTAAAATGAACATCAGGGGGACAGCATAGGTACTCCTAGAGCAGTAGTAGAATGAGTACCAGCCACATCAACCAGCTACTATCAGAGATAAGACTTAAACCATGTAAGAATGTCATTATATATGGCAGATGCTTGAAGTTTCATGAAGAAGAAGAAAAACAACTTCTTCATCCCAGATGTGCAGTATAGTGTGTTCAACTGTATCAAATGCCCTTTGTAGATCTAAAAGTATCATGCAATACTGCCTTTGTCCATTTCAAAAAATGCAATCTGTTAAATGAATCAAACATGTGTCAGTTGAAAAACCACTTCTAAACCCTGACTGAAACTGCCTGACCATGACTCGAACCCATGACTTTCAGAAGACCAACTGAGCTATCCGGCCTGCTACACATTTGCTCTTTAATAATGAAACAGTTCTAAACCACAACATATTTCCCCACTATATCGATTTGTGTTCGTGAATTTCTTATGTTACAGAGCATAGGAAATTGAACTCATGCTTATATGCAGTCACAGGATGAGAAAAACTTTGAGCTTGACCAGAACTCAAACCTGTGACCAACATAAGAAATTTTACGAAGGCTGATTTGTATTTTTTGCATCAAGGGCACCGGGCAAAAACATGAAAATGCAACAAACAAACCACTTTGTGGTAGATTGTATTTTCATGTTTTCATCTGGCGCCCAGTTACTTTTTATACTATGTTGGTTTTCATGTGGCACAAATCACCCACTATAAATTTAGTGCACAAATTTATTCAAGGGCAAGTAACAATCTACTCTATGTACAGTCTGTTGTCGGGTTGATGCAGGAGACCTGGAGGTTGAGACCGGTGTCTCTTCATTACAAATAGATAAGACCGAAGCTGTTTTTTTCAAACTATGCACATGTTAGAAAAAAAATAGAATAACTATTCAGAATATGATTTTTTGAGACTTTATTAATTACATTGCTTGATCCAAGTTTAAGGACATTTTCAATCAATACATGTTTTATCATTTATAACTTTAAATGAAAGTCTCATCCCTTTAATAATAATGACATAACTGTATCTCTTTAAATGCAGAAAATATAAGTCTCAATATATCAATATACTACTGTCTAAGATATACATGTATGCACATAACATTAATAATTCCCAGTTTATATTAAATAAATATGAAATCCTAACATTAACATGCTTTTGATGACCTTACAACTGGTGAATTATATACAACAAAAATAGTATTATAAGTAATACCTAAGATAGACAGAAAAGAACAAATAATTTAGTAAACATGAGTTACTTCCCCTTAAAATAAAGAAAACCTGAAACCCAAAAGAACACCCTAAACAGCAAAATTATGAAATGCTGCAGGTTCAGTTTTATCAAGCCATGCAAATTAATGGTAATGTATTCATAAAAAAATAGATGGCCATGTGTCAGCAGTAATTGCAGAAAATCGGATAGCTTTCATCATCCGGATACTGGTACACTTTGTAAAAACAACCATTCTGCGCAACAGATAAATGTAATAAGGATAAAATCAATAGGATAATCGTTTACAACAGTTCCATTACCTATCCTTATACTCAATTGCAGGTGAACTTTCTTCTTGTAGGAAAATTTTGAAAATGTATAAATGAATGAATGAACTGATACGGCCTCAATCTAGACCACAACGATATTCGAAATCCGGGGTTTAGTATTGTCATTAAAACTAAGGGACAAGCTGTTAAACTTAACCTGAAATTTCGTGAAAATAATATCACAATGCACATGCTTTTTATAAAAAGTTATTAAATACAAATATAATAACACATTTGTTTACTTGATTTTTACGAATCAAAATAAAACTAATTAACACAACATGAAATTAACTGCTAATAATAACAGCTCCTTCCATAGGCAAAAATAAAAAGCGTTCCATAATAGACGACGCCGCTCACCGGCGTCGCCAAAAATAAGACAATATACAGATCATTAAGAAAAAATATGCCCACTCTGGC